CCTGCGAAAGCCTTCGAGCCTCGGTAGAACCTCCGAGCCTCGGTAGAAGGCGGTGCTCATGGGGTCCTTCCCGTAGCTCGACTCATGCTGTTTGTGGAGCTCCTGGGCGTCGCAAGGAACCTCCTGCCTCGTAGACGAGAGGACGGCGCGAAGACGAGGACTGGGGCAAGTGAAAAAAAGAGGTGTTTCTACGACCCAACAACGCAGGTGCTTGGAGGGTGAACACACCCCAACCCCAACAGCCTGCAAAATTCACAGGCGCATGCGAGGCAGAAGTGAGAGGAAAGTCTCAGATATTTCTCGCAAAGAAGGATATATTGTATAATATATATATATATATCCCTGCCCAACTGTCAACTAACTCTCCGGAGGAGTAAATCTAGTGCTAGTGTGTTAGTGTGTGTGCGCGTGTGGCTGCAGGAATTGGCCATGTGGAGGATACTAACTCTCTCACTGTATTGAAGATTTAATGCTGGCCCACACCAAAATTGGTCCAGGTCAAACTGCGATCCAGCAGTGGACCTTTCTATTCACAAAGGGCCATCTACAATAATAATTGAAAGGTTTGCCAAAACAAAGTGTACCAAACAATGAATATGCAGTAATAATTACCAACATAACCCCATGGCACGGCCAGGGTACTGCACCCCAACAAAATCATGTGTGTTTTTGTACATGCTTTTGATTCTATATACTTACAGTAAATATTCAAGACCTTATAGGGAACATAAAGCCGTGCAATGAGCACAAAACTATCCCAGCACACGCCCACGCGCCCACGCCCCGCCGGGCGCCTTGAACAAGGCCACACCCGCCAGATCCGCCGCCGGGCAGCCGCGCCACTTGGAGCTATGATGGTCTAGCCTGAGCGGGTTCGCGGCGGGGGTAGACGGAAGCGAGCGGGTTCGGAAGCGAGCGGAGGTAAGGCCTCCTTACGTCAGCTGCAGTCGTTATGGTTGTGGGTAGAACATGGTAAAAAGTATGTAAAAGTATGTCTAGAATCGAAGATAGTTCGAAGTATTGGCCACTTTCTATAGATCCTTGAAGTTTGTGTCTACCGGTCGACGTCTGAGCCCCTGCGGTGTAGAGGGTCGTGAAGCAACCTGGCCATAGAGGTGACATCTAGGATCTGGAGAAAAAGAAACACCTTTGAAGAACAACACATGGGGTTCCACATGATCCAAAATCGTGGATTGATTCCGATGGGGGTCCTCTAGCTTCAAACTCCTTAAAGAGACCCTCAGAATATCTCTTCCGCACCTCTTCTCACCCGTCCCACCTGCTTAGACCGACCACCGACCGCAGCACGCTCGGCGAGGGCGACCATCGCTCTGCTGCCCCAGGGGCTCCTGAAGGCTCCGAAAAGTCCACGCGCCCTGGCGACGTGGGTCCGAACCACACAGTGTTGAAACATCGTCACAAACTGAAGTTTGTTAACACACAAAAGTAGTTCTCTATGCCCCAAAAAGAGAGAGAGAGAGAGAGAGAAATGAGGATGCTGTGGGAGGTTGGGGGGTTTGTTGAAACCCTACTTGTCTATCTCAAGGCGTGCAACTCTTCTTCTTTCACTCTTCAGTGCCAGTAAATTGTGGCCAGTTACGTGTTATGATGGCAGTCAACTAATTTTGAATATAGTCTATATATTTATATGATATAAGTAGACAGAACTGTAGACAGAGTATGATGCAGGAACATCAACAAAAGCTTCAAGAAGCATACCGCAGGCAGGCATGAACTCTCTTCTCAGTCAAAGAGACCGACTCCGTTTCGGGCGACTCCGTCGGCACGACGTTTCGGCACGGCGCCTCGGGGCGCGGCACAGGTCCAGCGCCGGTGAAGATGGAGCGCGCCAGGTCGCGCCAGAGCAGCGACTGCGAGCGGGACGGGACGGGGCGGGACGGGCCGCGGTTTCCAGGAGGGCGGAGGCATCCCCGGGTGGGAACACGGGAGGAACAAGCTTCGTGAGGCACCAGATCCGGGTGGGTGAGGGAGACCCAGAAGTGGGTGAGGGAGACCGAAGTGGATGATGACGCGTCCGGGCGATGAGGTGGAGAAGTAATGAGAAGTATGGACATCAACGGATATCAACACTGTTCGGTTGGCACTCCTCCACCACCGTACTTCATTTACTGAGAGTAGCTTGCTCCAAGAAAAAAGACAAAAACACAAAAACGACCAAAATGACCCTGACGCAGCTGCCCAACCGTGAGGCAAGTCCCATTGAGCAACCTGCACATGGCTCCATGAGTGCAATCTGATTCAACCATTACATCAATCACCCATCGACCATGGTGCTCAGGTTCATCAGGTGTTCACAGGTCTGACCAATCGCGTCAAAACCACCCAGGCCCACCACCGCAGGTCACGACACCTCCACTCGACCGCGTTGGTTCGGTGTGGCGAAGGCGATGTAGTGCCGCGCCAGGAAGAGCTCCTTCAGGGCCGCTCTGGGGAAAACGCTCCGGGCGGACGCTCGGGGGCGAAGCATGTGACCCGAGGACATCGTCTTCTTTTTGTTGTGTTCCGTGTTTGGAGGCTCTATAAACAGCTGGTGTGCAATCCTTTCGGAATGGGTTACACCAGAGTGGGGTAAGTTTCAGGCAAGCTGCCGTGTCGCCGTGTCGAAGAGCACCAGCCGGTTCCGGTTTTGACACCAAAACGCGGGGTTGCATCCGGGTGTTTTACTAAAAGAATGTGTGTGTACCTGTATACAGTATATGCGTGTGTGTATAGGTGTGCGTGTCAATCACATAAACACGCAATAACACACACACATACTCCCCCTCCAACAATCGTCGAAGGGGGGCAGGGCCCGTTGGGAGACGATTTTCCGAATACCAAGAAGAGGTTGACCACTTCCATGATGGTCGCAGCGAGAGCAAATGATTGGGAAGCCCTTGAAACAAATCCGCTTATCAAGCTGCTTTGTTGTGCTGCACGCATAAAGTTTGCTGTGCCATGATTGATGCTTGTACATCAAAAGTCCTAGCAAAAAATCAGCTCCAAGAACCTGCTGTGGACATGTCTAAACTTCAGCCAACCCAATGGGCAAACCCTCTGACCCCCCCCAAGCTGCGACGGTCCTGCCACACACCTTGGCTGGCGGCCGCCGACACTGAGCAGGTGCAAAGGGCACGGCCAATCTGCAGCAGTCGAAGTGTGCGGCAGGCGGCAGAAGTCGCTACGAGCCCTGGACATCCAGTCGTACCTTCTCAGAAGGTGATTGGACGTATGTAGGTGCCAGGAGGGTCCAGTCGTACCTTCTGAGAAGGTACTTGGATTCCATAATTACAAGTAGGGCAGAATTCTGGGTCCCAGGCCATTCTCCCACCACAGATCAAACAAATTGGGGCTGGAGTTGCTTACATTGGGGTCATATACTCATGGGGTAGATGGGTAGATATATATTTTGTTTATGATAAGTATCACACACATGGTCTGGCCAATCAATCTTCAACGTTTGCGGAGGGAGCGGCCCTTTTTGAGGGGCTGAAAGGCGCACAGAACACGACGCGGCCCTTGGAGTCAGGAAGGCGGGGTGATCCCTATCCTGTTCCGGACGTGCCCGGAACGAAGGAACTCCGTGGGCCGTCGGAGCTCCGTGGGTTCTGAAGAGAACATATATAAAATATGTATGTACATATTACAAAGATATACAAAGTATATATTAGATATATATATATATATATTACATGAATTTGCAGTCCCCCCCAACCAAACTCAGCCGTATTTCCACTAGTTTGCTCACAACTACAACTGTCTGACCTTTTGCGCGTTCCTCCCTCCCCACCCGCCTCCCGAGCACCCAAGCAGGGCAACGCCGTTGGAAGCCACTCATCCATCGACCCAAACAGTACGAGGCCGAACGTTCGGTCTCGGTGGATTTTCGGTCTCGGTGAGTTCGGCGATGTGCATCGTTGGCGATGGTTGGAACGCGCAAGGTGGTGCTGTGGTGGCACTTGGAGAATTGGTGTCAAATAAGAGGTCTGACTCTAAGAGGCTGCAAGTTTGAGAAAACTGGACTTGTTGGTGTTTTTGGTGTATCAATATCCCAGAATGAGGCTGTGCCCCCTGCATCTTAGCTTGCCATGACGTTGTGAAGGAAGTTGGGCAAACTCCCAGTGCAATCCTCAGGATCTAAAAACAGCTTGGAAGTTGATGGAATAATCATGACTCGAACCCTCAAGACATTGATGACACATATAAAAATGACAGGGCATTCCGTATCTTGCATGATTCACTATCGTTGTGTGTATTTACATGACTGGTCACCGTCAAGAGCACACATAACATAGTCACAAATGCACCAAGATGCAAACGATTACAGTAATATGTTCCTGTGACCAACTGAGTTGACGTTTCAATAATGACCAACTGCACATGTCTTTTCCACCTATATGTCAAATGTCCTCCTGGCTTGTCGGGAAACTGCAGTGGCAGGCAGCGAGCACAACAGGGGGTTCAACTGCAAGACTCATGAGACCTTTACAAACAAAAGTGAACCATGAGACAAATGCCTATAAGCACTGCATATATATAGCATACTTGACAGCTTTGGGGGGTGGTTGAAAAAAGGGGGGTCATAGAGTAAGTTAATTAACATAATTAACATACACCATGGAGTGTTGGGATAGTACGAACCAGAATACTTCAGAAGCATGATCGAAGATCTCCAGTCATCCATGAATCTATGGGATTCCGTTGGAAGAATCAACACTTCACCCATGGCCTGCTGGACACCGCAGGCCTGGGACGAAGCCAAAACTATGCAAAACCCATGGTGAAACGCTGCTGTCAGACGCAGTCGTCAGGCCTCGACTATCTCCCCTACTTCGGCTCGGATCCCTCATGTTTCTACCCAAGTTGCCAAGGCATGAAACCACCTAACCAAACAAAAAAACTGGCTATGTACTTCACCTTTCAAATCCCCAAACATCCCACCAACTTGGCCGCATGTTTGGCTTGCGTGCGACGGCTGCGTCGACGCGCCGCCGCGGCACCTTCTGCCGGACGGGCGCCGAGGGTAGAAATCGTCGGATCACCGTGGAGAGCAACGGAAGGATGTCCTGCGCTCTGCATCGCGCGCCGCGGACATCGGTCCGGGTGGGTTTCGGTCGGTGTTGGATGTGTTGGGTGACCCAAGGAGCCTGGCTCTGAGAAGGGGAGCATGTCCTGCTCATTTGAGACAATTGAGACAACCGGACCAAGGAAACCTGTGAAGGAAGTCACTCAGGGTAGGGATGTAAACTCTATATTTGAGTTGGGAAAAACACAACTCCTCCAAAGACTTGTTTGTCACGTCACGAGGCTCCAAACCACTCGAACAAACATGAACAAACATAATGACACCATAATTACACCCAACTCCCCGCATTGCTAAGGCCTTCGGACCCCTTTAATGCCGTGATGTTTTATTGTTTTTCATGTCCGGGCCATATCAGTCGACGCCTCGAATCGAGTTTTACAAGTGGAGCTTGTACCCTGATCTCGAGATTCAGTCGAGAAGTAATAGTACACGTAGAAATAATATATTAGTAAAGACACATATGAAATATTTTGAAATCATATGAAGAGGTATGGGGGGCGTATTCATCAAGAGTCTACATGACATGTCTGAACATGTATGATCAAGCGGTAACACCACAGAATCTGTTGGTGGGACCAATAACTTATAGGAAAACACGTTGGAACATGGTGGATCAAATTATGACTCATGAAATCACCAAAGGGAACAATCCAAAGCCGAGGCCGTGACCATGAAGTGCTGCCCCTGCTCGGCAGGCTCTTCGATGATCTGCATCTTCCTGAGGCCGAGGCCTTTGGACCCAGTTAGGGAAATCGGAGGCCGACAGCGGGGGGGCAAAAGCTGGCGGCCCAAGTGGACGGTGTTTAACAGCACCAAACGACCTGTATGGGACTGGCATATTCTGTAGAGGTGGTTGAAATCGGGGTGAAGGCAAAGATTCATGGAGTGTGATATGGACCCCGACTTCAGCCATCCCAATGCAAAATAGTCCCAATATGTCCCATAATATAATAGTGTCTGGAATAGTAATAAAAACATATAAAACCTTGTTTGGGGGGTCTATGAACACATGCGCAGTCTACTCACATCATAGTCTTGAAGATCCCTGGCGTTTGCAGTTGAAGAACTGTTGCGGTGACTCTACAGGAGTTCCTCTCCCAACACTCTACTGCGCTGCGCCGAAACCTTGTCAGTTGGCATCTCAAAGAACATCAGGAGGCCATGAGATGACATCAGGCTGATCCCTCAGACTCAGGCTGATCCCTGAGACTCAGGCTGATCCCTGAGACTCAGGCTGATCCCTCAGACGGATGAAAACATGTATGTTCTTTTTGCTGAATCCCAAACTGTGTAATAACTCTCAGTCTGATCAAACATCAGGCTGGGATCGGTGTTGGGCCTTCCAGGTGCCATCCGTCGTCGCGTGAACACCTGACCAGTCCACGACCAGACTTGCAGGTCCAGGGACCATGGATTCTTCTGCAGCCGGAGTCTGTGGAGCCACTTGGACGTCCGGATTCCAATGGATTTCGGTCAGCCGATCTGGAAAACACACGAACGATCTTGGTTTGGTCAATCACCAGAGTCTGTTCACATCACGGTTTTCTCAGTAAGGATTCTGCAGCGGATTGAGAGTAGATGGCGCAATCCCCAAGGTTTGGAGGTGTATACGGACCCCCCCATCTAAAAGACATCTATGCCAATGCACTCTGAAACCATGGTCAATCATGGAGTCTTAATCCCAACTGGCCGGTCTTTGCAGCAGGCTGCCACTGTCCCAACTGGCCCAACTGGCCGAAGCTGGGCCTTCCCCTGTCCCAACTCCTCTGGGCTTCCCAAGCCAAGTGGTGCCTGAACGCACCATGGCGGCCACCACATCCACACCGGCCTTGCTCCTGTCACACATCACTTAGGTCTTGCCAAAGTGCCCTAAGTAATGATCCCAAGAAAGGGATCGAGCATGATCCAAGATGGGATCAAAACAGGGATTATGGATCTAACATGATGTTTAACATGATTTTAATATGATCACCCCACCCCTTCACCATCTCGGCGAAGACACACACACACACACACCCATGCCATGAGTCCATTCAGCTCCTCTCCATATCGTAGACGGCCATCTCATGCACCTGCTCAGCACAGCTGGGAACATTGGGATGTGGGTCATGAATGGTCCTGGCACCAGGCAGAAAAACCACCATGGTTGACCTACCTAGAAGTACCGGTCGTTCTCTACATGGTGGACCAAGGCTACCGATTTTGACATATTTTGACGCGCGAAACGAACACCAACTTGTCGCAGCCCATGGTTTCTGTTGGACCGAAACCAGTTCTTCAAGCACCCTGTTTGATTGAAGGCGTCACATGACGTTACTTCTACAAACCCATTGCCACTCGCCACTTCGAGTCTCTCTAGCGCTGAGATCCTCTTCGAGTTCGAGCTGTTCAACACCGTCGCCTGCTTCGTCCATCCACGTCTTCCGCACCTCTCGCTCCTCAAAGACGTGCGAACGCCCATCCTTCACGTCCTGTGGAGCTCTCCGCCGGTCCCGGTCGTGGAGTGAAAAAGGCCGTTCGTGAGGAAGAGTTGGCGTTCCTCCGGCGACCTGATTTCACTCTTTTGGAGGGGTTGAGGTCACTGAGACAGGTATATATATACCTGAAACTTCCGCCTGTGCATAATTGTCGCCTCTGTGCTCCAGGGCTTGAATTTCCACCTCTAAAAAATGATTCAGCCTCTGCCTCACAGGATCTGCCTCCCACAGGTTGGCTGAAAAAGTTTCAACATGTATTTTGGTTGTTGATCATGTTGGAAGACTTCATCATGTCTTTCAAAGAGAAAGGGTTATCAAGCATGCTTGTCCCCCAATAGTTTGGAACAGACTTTGGAGGGAATGCTCATGAAACCATACTTGTCCACCACCGCGTCATGTCCACCACCGCATTCAATCAAAGACCTTCCGTTTAGATGCCATGGCGCTACATTGCTCATGAACCTCCTGGTCGCAGCTCGGTGGAAAGGTTGGTGAACCGTCCAAACACATGTCCCATGCTCCCAGATCTTTTTTCCACCTTCAGCCAGTGCTGAGCTTCCGCTTCCGATGAAAACGCATGAGTGTCATTTTTGACTTGACCTTGTATGCATGAATTGTGTTGCTAACAACGTGTTTGTGTCCAACCCTTCGGCTTTGTCTTGCTATTCTGCCGACAAAGTCTTCTGACATGGAGCAGTCATCGTTGGCAGGGTTCCAGCAGAATTCATCCAGGGAACACACAGAAAGCCGGTGCTGAACATGTGCCATGCCATGTATTTTAGGAACCTGGGCAAACAGTTGCAATCGACGTTGAAGACACACGTGTGCAAGCCAAGCGTATGAGGCAAGAAATTGCTGGCAATTCTTCTGCAGCTTGGCACGACAACAATTTGTAAGCCAAATCCCATGCCGATGTATGCCCTGGAAAGCAAGGCTTTGCTCACATCCCTGGTGGATATGGCCAAGCACCTGTGAATCTGGGCAACTCGCCAGATTGATCGCAGAGCACCACTTCAACCACTTGAGGAGAATGATGGAATCAGCCCCCTTGCAGCCAACCCATGGAAAGCTTGTTTTCGTTGCAGCGTGAAACTTCTCACGGGTAAATGCACGAATGCCTGTAACCCTGACCGAATGCGTGTCACACCACAAGGAAAACTGTGCCCATGCACGACCAAGCCTGGCATCAACCGATTTGGAATCCCCAGCAGCAAGGTCGAAAATGCCGTCCGAGGCCATCAACATGACAGCAGATGCTATGAAGTTTCTTGCAACACCCAATCGAAACAAGTGGAAGGGGTCCAGCCTGAACCATCTAGCTGCCAAACCTGAAGACCAATCCTCAAACAATATATATCGAAATGGTGGGGGGTTGTTCCATGGAGGAGAATGAAACAGAGTCCCCTTCCAGCTGGCTTGCTCTCTAACATCTTCAAACGGATGGTTGATACTGCCAGCAGCACATAGATGGCAGCAAGGTATGAAGTTTTTGTGTCCAACGTTTTGATAACTACGCGTCAGCACTCCTGTCTTTGCGTGGTACTCAAGGTCCCCCATCATACCCAGAACGGCAAAATGATAGACATCATTGCCAAGGACGATGCCACGTACTGAAAGTGTCCCCAAATCTTGTGAGATAGCCTCGAGCACAGACAGCAGAAGCCCAGGCAGCTTCTTGAACTTCTTGCTGGGGAACGCGCACAACAAGAAGTGCGTGAGATAGGTGAGGTGCTTGCTGTTCAGTTTCTGGGCCATCGGGTGGGCTGTGTCACACCCACCATAGGTTTGTTTAGGCCAACATGTGCACTGAACTGAATCCTCAATCTTCTTTTTCACGGTGTCCAAGCCCAGAACTGGATGCAAACTGATTACTTCAAGAGGCTGTTTTTTCAATGTACGAGCACCATCACCATGCACCATTAAAGGCACACAGAATCTCAAATTGACAGCACTGTCATTATCATCGGCCAATTGGAAAATCTGGTGCGTGGGATGCTCCCTTCTGTAAAGCCTCCAGAAAGTGTCTAGCATGTTTTGGGCCTCCTCTCCAGGATCCAAGCCACCAAGGAGAGTCCATGGATAGCTTCGAAGTAAGTAGTGGAGAACATCTCTGCCCCTCAAATACTCAAGGTCTGCAACTTCCCCGTTTTCCTCAAAGTGGTGCTTGCTAATTGGGACGTTCCTTGGAAACTGATGTGTTTTGATTCACACAGAACCCCCAAGAGAAAATACACAAGAAACACAGAGTGAATATGGTTTGCTCACGTAGACAAATCAAGCTTCATTTCCAAACCAAAACGCCGCGTTGCTCGTTTGTATTGGCGGGCAGCATTTGTTTTGCTATGTCCCATCATGGACTTTGTAGAAGGGCGCAGCCCACTCAGAGAGTGACCCTTCATCTCCTCCTGCAAGGCGTTCCCATGCTCTTGCAGTGTAGAAGCCGTGGCCTTGGGAGGCAGAGGGTCTACTGGGTGGGGATTGCATGTGGTTACACCTTCAATGGTCAATGCGCGCGAAAACAACATATATATAGTAGTCCAAAGGGCTCCATCAGCGATCTTCTCAACAATGTGTTCCACAAGAGGTCCAGCTGAGCTGTGGTCAGACGAATCCGGTTTAGAACCTGGCCGTGTTACACACGCTATCCAAGCCAAGCTGTGAGTCTGTGAGTGTTGCTGTGCAGCTCCTCACAAATGTTTTTTTCGAGCAGAGCCGGTCGTAGGATCTATATGCACACAATCATTTCACTGGATGTTCTGTCACCCAGCGACTCAGCGATTGCAAATCACATAACGGCACAAGGATATACCTGGACACCTTGTGAAACCCCCATCAAGCCGCTCATACTCTGCAGTGCAAGCAAAGGCACGCTTGGGATTCATGGTGCCATTGAGCTTTCCAAAGCATTTCAACACACAAAAAGATAAACCGCACTTTATACCCGTCACCTATGGCCTAACACTCCGATACATCACCTTTCTATGCAGAGAAGAGCGAATTGCCCACAAAATCACATATAGAATCTACCTACGAGGCGTCTCGTGCTTTTCCGCTTTAACTTTAGCCTTTGGCTTTGGAGCAGGGGTCCGAGGATTGTCCTTCCGATCCTGCTCTCTTTGGTTCTTCTTCAGCTGGGACTTGATGTGGGAGATGAAGGGCCTCGGATGATAGCATTTGCTGCATGTGTGTCGTGGGGTTGGCGAGCAAAAGCCACAACATACATGCATGGCATGCACTTGACCATTCAACTAGGAAGCGGACTGAGACCGTGTGCACAGATTCAACGCATCCACGCACCTTAAAGAAAATGAAGGCACGGTTGCATGTAGCTTGGACCAACACATGGGGTTATACCAAAGACCAGCAATGACTTTGCTGAGGTTCTGAGTGCTACATACCACATTTGTAGAACGGTTCTGAGTGCTACATACCACATTTGTAGAACTCAACCACTGCACCGCCTTTTAGCGCCAATCAGCAATTCCCCCAGCTGACAGACTGCAGGCAAACACCGAGCTGCACCAGTCACAAAATGAAGCTAAAAGCACAAGGACTCTCTTTTTAGGGCTTCTAGAAACCTATCCAACACGTTTTGCTTGGTCAGCTCTTCCACCTGTGACATAAGTAAAAAATGGTGGTCCTGCATGGTCCTTCCTATTCAAGGCTCCCTCCCCACCAGTGTTCGGTGCATTTCTGCAACCCGAACAATTGCAAAACTCTGAGATTAACGCTGCTTCCAGCATCATTACTAGAGATGCATCGCTGCTCATAAAAACAATCCACATTGCACTGAAGTTCTTTGACAAATAATCTTGAAACCGCTGAGCAGGATGTGCCGTGATTCCTATTTTGAAGACACACACTTGCACACCTATGTGTTCCCTAAAACCTACCACTTGCTGCTTGGCGTGGGCCAGGATTTTCCCACAGGTAGGACGGGGAATCTGAATCCTCATTGTTCTGTTGTGGATGAAGCAGCGGCGAAACTCTTCCCAGGGAACATCGTGTAGCGATGGACGACTGCGGCAAAGAGAACCTAGCAACACAAGGATGTTTTGCTTCGCACAGTCCTTGGGTGACACAGTGACACAAAAAAAGGTTGTGTGCATGTTATACACGTGATACCATCAAGCACGTTGGTACACATGAAAAGAACATATTCTTTTGAGGTCTATGAATCATCCATAGGTTTGTTCCCACTACCCAAAGCGCTCGCAGGGTTGCAGCTGGCCTGTGCAGCTTTGGGGAGAGGAGCTTCATCTAGCCGCGTTGGAAACAGTCCAGGCGATTTTGCGATAGAAGGCCTATAGAGGCTTTTCAGCAACAGAAAAATACAGTATATCACAGTATCCAGTGGAGGTTGAAAGGACACAAAGACCTGGATGTTATAGTTCCACTATGTTTTCACCTCTTCCACACATAAGATTATAAGGCCACCTTCTAGGACCAAGCGGTCGCGTTTAGATGTGTTTGGATCGTGACGGGAATGCAATCGTAGAGGAAATACCACAAACAGGAAAACTGTTGTTATCAAACAACAGGTTTCTGTTTTCTCGTCTCGCCACTCAGCTCCAGCGCAGCTTGGGCAGCACACCGCTTCTTGCCCGTGTAGGGACAAGTGTAAGTTAATAGATCCAAGAAGTCTTCCAGGTAGTCTTCCACATGTTCACGGCTTCCAGTGCACATGGTTGACCCTTTCGTTTGTAACTAAATTACTTGAGGCACGTGACAGTACCACAGTTTGAGCTACAGTTGGTGGTACTGTTTGCAAATATGGACCAGTTCAAAGTTCAGTCATCTTGAAGAAATAATATATAGATCAACTGTTTCTTTTTTGGGCATGGATCCGTTTTTGACAAGCCTGTGTTTGAGCCCACTACGGGTCCAGCAGTGAGCAGGAGCAGCTTCAAACCACCGGGAGCTTCCAAAGGCTGCCGAGGCACTGCTTCTGGGCAGTTGTGAACGACACTTTGAGCTCGTCCTGCTCCCTCAGTTTTGTTTGAAGGGCATGAGCCAAGGTCTGGATATATAAAGAAGCCTTCAATCTTTGACTGTTCTATACACATATTGCAGTGTTCATTCAAGTCGCTTCCGATGGAAGCCACCGACTATTCCGGTAGTATTGGTTGCCGTGATGGCATCCGTAGTTTTGCCGAGTTCTTCGCTGATAGATTCAGCACGCCTTGACAACCTAAGGTGCAGTGAAGTGATCAATGTACTGTGTATC